AAAATAATGAATCTTTGGCTCCATTGCAAATGATGGAAAGAATTGAATATCTGAGAGTGCACTGTAAAAAATTTCTTTGAATCAGATAAAGGAAATACCCAAATGTAATCTAAAAGACGGTTATAAAAGTGTCAACTAGCTTAATTTCAGCAAAAGAAGAAGAGAAATTTACTCATCCTGCACTATTTCTCAAGAAGTAATCATAGAAGATTTGATGTTGAGGGGCGTCATTCGTTGAATATCCGATTTATGATCTCCAACTTATGATCTCCTAGGCCCCTTTCGAACCATGCTAGGATCTCGAGTTTAACAACCTTGGCCACATAAGTTAGTGGTTAATATGCCTTCCAAGGCTAATAAGCTAAGAAATGGGTACCAGATGGACTTCACATAACATGCTTTGTGGATGCAATGCCACTAGGAAAACACTACTGATTGCATTGCAATAATAATAATAATACAGAGTAATAATTTAGACTAAACAATCCTGCAGATAAACATTATTTAGTAAGATGGGTCCTGGTTACATAATTTGAAACAAATGAAGGAAAAACACCGTGTAATATTGTTTATAGTTTTAGACAACCAAATGCGAGATATGATTTCTGTTGGCTAAATTCATAGGATAGAGAAGGACATTACCTGTCGCTGGATGACGTTTTTTTTACACTTTTTGGTGACCTTTTTGATGATTTTTTCAAGAAAATCCGGCTGGCAGCTGCCATGGTCAGCTATAGGCAGCAGAAATGGCTCTGGAGAGGTTGATGTGGGAGAGAAAAAAATTATGGGCATATAAATAGGGTGTGGGGTATTTAATCTCATGCTAGGCATTGGTGGACAGACTAATTTTTGCCCATGGAAAAGCTAGATGCCAATCTTATAAGTAGGTCATTCTTTCCGATTACTAACTTTGTATGGGCATGCTTGCTGCAGGATGAATTAGAGATTATAGGAAGATGCTTGGGTAAAATAGGCGGGTATTCTGGAACAAGTGTGCTTGTGAGGAACAAACTGACAGGGGAGCTTATTGCTGAGGGGCGACATTCGTTGTTTGGTAAACATGTTAGTAAGATGTGATAATAATGTGTTATGTTTGCTTTTCTTTCTTTTTTCTCAAAAAGGAATACATGGATGAACTAACTCTTTATGTATTACTACTTGATAAATCAATAACATGTGTGCATTTTGAGTGCCTAACTATCTCTGCTAGAGGTAGTTTTTATGGTAACGTGCAAAATCAATGGCTTCTTAGAGGAGCAACAACTGTGTTCGGTAGATGAAGTTGTCTAAAAGGTGATTGAAAGTTGTGTTGTTAAAACCGGGTCAGCCTGGTTAATGTTGTCTAAAAAGTACGGAACAAAACATAGAATATGTCTATTTATATACGAGTATCAACTTAAAGATGATGGGTTTTGGAACCCCGAGATACTAATTCTAGAGAGAAGTTAGAACAAAAGTAGAGATCACGTCATAAAAATGATTGAATAATAGTTCAAAAATTCTAGTCCCTTTCTCAAAAGGGAAAGATGGCTATTAAAGCCCAAAGAAGTTAAGTCGGTCCAGGAGTTACACGTGTCCCTCCGATACTTGGGGAACGAGTATAGTGATGTGATGCTAATGTGTCATGATGATGATGTAAGCCCTTTTTTTAAATTGAGCCTATGATGCCAATCGTCACTGGGAGTGTTGATGACGTAAGCCATGGATGTGCACCTTGCTCAAATGCCCGGGAAATGAAGAAGTGCTAAACTATTTCCGAATCGAGGCGGATCAAGTCTGCTCAGCTTCTTTTGACATCGTCAACTGGTTATTTGCAGTTGCAGTCCTTGAGCGTAGCCTCACCTGAGCGGCTCGATCCGTAGCGAAATAGGCCCCATTAGCACAGAACTGGGTTAGAGATAAGATCTTCGGCGTCGGTGGAGGGCCTTGGCCTCGTTATTTGGACCTTTTGATCTGGACCTCTGAAGTACATGTCCATATATTCAATGAGTTATAAAAAATAATCCAATTCAAAATTTAATAATGATAATAAGAAGAGAAAACAAAAATAATATACCAAAATATTAGGTTTTTCACAAAGCTCAAAATGTGTTTGAAATTAGATAGATAGTATATGAACAATGATGCTATAATAATAATTAAAAGGAAAAATTGAAAATAATAATCCCAACTATTGAATATTTTTGTATAATCCCGACTATATGGACCGTCCACCAATAATGGTTCATGAGTCCATGACCGCATATTACCCTCTAACAAGTGAATTTAAGCATAGAAATTAAAATTTGGGATTATTTATAGGGATTACCTGCTATATCTCTTGGGAAACTATAAGAATTTATTTATAGTCGATCACGTCGGACCATTATTGACGGAAGGTCCGTAAAGTTGGGATTATTCTGAAATAATCGATAGTTGAGATTATTACAATCAATTTTTACTAATAAGATTGTATAAATATATTTAATAGATATTTTGTTTAGTATAATAGATAGGGGTGGACATGAGACGGTACTAGATGGTTACTTTAAAGAACTTGTTTCATTCCAAAGTAGGATTCTTTTAAAAATAAAAGAACCGGTATTGTTCCAAATATATTTAACACATGTCCCATTTTTTATACAGTTTTGCACGGTTTTTGGGTACTATTTGGTTCCAAAATCACTTATGACCACGACTCCACAAGGTATAAAAAACTTTAAACTTTAGCATTTATAAGTAACCATAAAAAATGGAGAAGTGACTGCAAAATTAATAATTCCAAAGTTTCTAGTAACCACCGTCTAAGTTATCGATGATTGAAAATTTCTAAACGTACACTTTTTGTGTACACACTTTTTACACATGTCTGTGTAAGGTTTTTTTTTATGTTTGTACAGACATAACGTATTTTTTTAAATACGTTATGTCTGTACAAACATAAAAAAAACCCTACACAAACATGTGTAAAAAGTGTGTACACAAAAAGTGTGTACCCCAAGTCCAACTCTTGATGATTATTGTCTTTGAAAGGAGGCCGATGATCATTTTACTGATGGAAACAAAAGCTCCGGTGAATCCATGTGATGTTGTGTGTCAGTCAACTGGCTTCCCCAAATATTTCTCCGTCAATAGCCTCGGATTAAGCGGGAGCCTCAGCTTGTGGTGGCGCGACGGGATCCGACTCTAGGTACGGGCTTGGAGTTGTAATTATATTGACTGTCTCGTCGGAGGTTGAACTGAAATGGAGGTTCACCGAGTTTACGGGTTCCCGGAAAAAAGTAGATGGAAGGAATTAGGGGTACGTGGGCACACGTCGTAACGGTTCGGGATTAGGGTTATCCAGGTCCCAAGACTCCCAACCCAATTAGTAATAATAGGACGGGATGGTTCGGGACAAGCTCTTGTCCTAGTATTGTCTCGTTTAAATTGGGATCGATTCCGAACGGTTCGGGACGTCTCAAACTAACAAAAGAGTATGATACAAAAAAATCATAATTAAAATATATTAGCATTTCTAAAGTATCATGCACCAAAGTATTAACATTTTAAAAGTCAGTTGATGTTTATCACAAGCTATCTTTTTACAAAAACCTAAAAGCTACTCTCTGTTCTTTTTTAGTTGCAACAGTCAACATTTCACATTTGCCAACGTACGTCTTTGACCGTAATTATATCTTAATTCTATTAGTATAAAAAAATATTAAAAATCAGATTTTGAATATTTGTAATGAGATGAATTGAACAATATTTTTTTAGAAATTAATTTTCATAAAATAATAGCGTAAAATGTAGTCAAAGTAGACCATGTGAATAATGTAAAATTCAACATGTTGCGATTAAAACGGAACAGAGGATACTATTAGATTTTGATTAGGTTTAGCAAAAATTGTAATTAAAATTTAAAACAAAGTAAAAAAAATGTTTAATTATTTATTCAAAATTATGTGTTCTAGTTGTGAGATACTCAAATGCATATAGATGGAGTGAGATAAAAACCTAAGTTAGTTAATATTAATGTTAGGTATTATTTTTAATTTAAAAATTGGGTTTGAGAAACTAAAGACATACATATCATTTATTTTTTGAGTTGGCACTACAAACTAGTTACATGCTAAAAAATTATGTAGTCATTACAAACGGGACAATGAGACAGTTCGAATAACCTTCTAATGTCCCGATCATGTCGCGTTTTAAACCGGTTCGGGATCGATTCGGGAAAATGAACGGATCCCAAACAGAACGGGACAACACCTATATAGTTTCGGGATATATCAGAATGGGACAACGGGACCGGGATTCTTGCCCCCCCAGAAGGAAACATGGCAGTTGATTAATTTTTTATTTTACAATTTTTTTTCTAATTTTTTATTTTTATTAAATTTATTTAATACTACGTATTTATTTTTATGTTTTTTAAATTTTTACATTTTTATTATAAATAAAGTTAGGATAAACTGTCAAATAGGCCCTCGAAGTATATCAAAAAACAAAATCAGGCCCTCCAACTAAAGAAACTAGGGGTGGGCATAACGGTTCGGTTTGACCGAACCGAAACGTACCAAACTGAATTAAACTGAACCGAAATCGAACCATTTGTAATTTGGTTTGAGTTTGATAGTATTCCTCCCAACCCGTATTAAACCGAACCAAACCGAACCGAAATCATAAAACCGAATAAAACCGAATAAAATCGAACTAATCTAAAAATGAAATAATTTCTTATTTTTTTAAAATAACAAATCAAAACCAACTTACACCAAACCAAACCAAACCAAAATATAAGATTTCTCTCATTAATTTGATTGATGTTAATCTTTTTGAAGCTTTAATTCTTTAATTTTAGTGTCCAGGACTAGAGTTTACTACAAGAGTTACACTCACAACTATAACAACTATAGTGGTTTAAGTAGATAGTATTTAACTATAATTTATTATCTACTACTACTATATATATGGTTCATTACTTACAAGCACCAATTTTGTTTTTGTTTCGGCTTTATATATAATTTGATTCATTCTCGTTGTTGTTCTTGCTTACAAATGTGTCATGCTTATATATTTTTGGTTCATATGTGTTTTGTTACTGTTTGCAAATTTATATCTAACATTATATTTGGTTCATTACTTTCGCTTCTTGGTTCATTATTGAGTTAATTTTTTTTTCCAATTCAAACCTTAATACTTTGGTAAATCGAACTCCAAACCGAACCGAACCATACCAAACCGAAACCAAACCGAAACTTAATCGGTTTGTATTTGGTACATTTTCTATCAAACCAATTAAACCGAAACCGAACCGAAACCGAAATGCACACCCCTAAAAGAAACACTCAATTAAGTTCGTGAACTATACGAAAAGTCGAAAACGATAAAATTTCAAATTTCAAATTTCGTAGGTCGATTCCTAATTAACTGGTCATCGGCTGACGTGGCAATCCGGTGGCATGATTTTAATGTTTTTTTCATTTTCTTATTTTCATGTTTCTTTCTTCTCCCGCATAACCCCTCTTCTCCGTTCTTATTCAGCGCACCCCGTCCCACCCCTCTTCTTCAACCCTCCCACTCCATCCCCTTCCCTTTCCTCTTCTTCAACCCGCCCCACCCTCATATTACACTTTCAAAAGACTAAATTCATCCACTCTATTACACTTTCAAAATATGGAAAAATAAACTAAACTCATACTACAAATATCAAATCTTTTGGATAGAAGTATTATTTGTAAATTTAAAAGGAGGAATGGTATCTGTTTCTGATTAAGAGGGTTGAAGAAGAAGGGGGAGGTGGGTGTGCTTATGAAGAAGAAGGAAAGGGGAGGACGTGGGATAGGCTGAAGAAGAAAGAAGAGGTAGGTAGGGGTTATGTTGCCGCCTCAACAACCTTCAAACATCACTGACAGCTCTGACCACAAAAAAAGAGATATTTTATTTATTAATTTTTATGTATATATCTCACATGTCATTTACGTGCACACTTAACATTTTTACGTTGGAGATGTTGTAAATGTCAGGAGCTTCGAAGTCGATGATGAAAGTAAGGATGGACTCAGGTCAGGTCGGGCTCGAGCGGTATCGGTTCTGGGAAAGTGGAGCCCGTACCGGCCCGGTATGCTCCGGTACAGGTTCCGGGCCGGGCCCAAAAATCAAGTCCGAAGCCCGCCCCTTATAACCACCGAGCGGGTACCAGCCCCCAAAAACCGGGTCTGGGTATCGGTCCTGGGTTGGGCAGCCCGGGCGCAGTCATCCCTAGATGAAAGTGTCTCACAATATTCGAAGAACGAAGAGAAGGGTGCGAAAAATCAAAGAGCAATAATTTTAAATTCCATAAAATTTAAAGAAACGTGTTTTTATTTTGGCCATTTGATTTTACCTTCGTTTAAAATTGCACAATAAGAGCACTTTATTAATCGGACGGGACTAGCATGCCATTTTATAATCTTTTACATTTTTGACCGAGTAATAATAGATTAGGCCAGCGTTGAATAGCTTATTAGGATGTTTTTATTTGATCTGAAATTTGTTGGTCTGGTTGATCTGATGTGGTCTGGTCTGAACTAATCTGGATTGGTTTGGTAAATCTCTAATCTTTGTTTATTTTATAATTGTTCAACTCTAGTGTGGTATAGTCTAGTCTGAAGTGGTCTGGGACCGAAAACAGTCCAAGTAAAAACATTTTTTGTCAGCTTATGCAATTAGAATGGAAACTATTGGGAAAAGAAAGTTAATTTCTTTTTGGGGGAAACTTTAATTTTAATTAATTTCGTAAATGACATTTGTGTGTCTTTCTTCCCTTAAAAGACGTCATTTTGTGCGTGATAAGTGTATGGCCGTATGACTACTTTGTTTTATACATTATTCTGACAATATGTCAGAATTTGAGACCTTTTGAAATTCTAACTGAAGTATATATTCAAAATATATTTTAAATATATTTTAAAATCTTATTTTAGGGAAATTTTTATTTCAAATATATATCGGCAAAAAATGCTATATAACCTTAAAAAATAGACCACTTTAAGTTAGTAGTTGTTGTAAAACCCAGGAAATGACAAGTGTGAATTGTTCATCATTGTCATCATCATTGTAAACAAGACACTAAGCTTCTTTCCATCATTGTAACCATAGATAGACAGATGGTTAGGTTTAATAGTGCCAGCAAAATATGTAGAAGTAGTCTTTGATGATTCATCATCAAACCCAGCTAGTATAAATATGGCTTGATCAAACCTTTGTAATGTAACTCAGAAATTCAGAAAATATTCAAAGATTAAGAAGAAGATATTCAGAGCTTTTATTAATATATCTATCTCTTAAGTTTAGTCTTCATCTTCTTCATTTCACAACACGTTATCAGCACGAATCTGCTCAAACTCTCCTAGAAATCATCTCCCCCGTAGGTATGTACATCATTATTTTCCTTAGTATTTCAAGAATAATAAGTAGTAGAGAAAACTATGCAATGAAAATATAGAAAACATACATACCTTTGAAGTATTCCTCAATCAAATGAATTATTCGTAAAAGAAACGAGAATAATATTTGCCATCATATATAAGGAGAGAATATCCTCAGATCACTAAAAACACCAAACAAGCAAACAAATAGTATATTGTACCCTAATTTAAGAAGGTTGACACACTATGTTTAAATAATAAGTAGTGATGGATAGTCTATCTGGGGGTATGTATCCGAAGGGTTACTGCGGGGAGTAACTAGAGAGAGGTCAGAGCAAGCAAGAGAGAGAAAGTGTATTGAATAAATGAGTGAAAAGTGTATTCCGAATCTGGTTTACAAAGGGGAAATGGTGTGCTATTTATAGTAGCAATAAATGCAAGAAGGGGGCACGTGTCATGCATCCAACGGCCGAGGGGTCACTTCAACTGGGTGTCACTGGCATTCGCATGTGGCCGCATTTAATGCGGCGGTTGGATGTGACGTTGTACTTAGTACAGCGACCCAGGCGCATGTGGAGAGGATATTCTTGTCTGGGAAGGTACCCTCGGCTGAAGGCGATTAGCCGAGGGCTCTTCCTGTCGAAGGCCCCTTAAGGCCGAGGGCTCCAATCGTCGAGGGCTACTGTTTTCCGCCGTTTTTTCTCCCAGTAACTTTGCATGCTGAAAATAGCCTTTCTGTGAGTATCAGGAGCCTTCGGCCAAGGGGCCGAAGGCACTCCCGGTGTGTATTGTTGGCTGCTTGGTACTCGGGGCGTTGTGATTTGGGCCTGTTGTGCTTCATGGGCCTATTGGGCCTTGGTTTAGAGCAGTAGGAGTCTATGGGCTGGGGGTCCCTGGGCCATATACTCCATCACGAGTCCCTCACTCCTTTTGCCGAAAGGTACTTGAGGAAAAAGGAGTAATTGTGTTTGTCCTCTGTCGTTGTTCCGTTGTAGTTTTTAAAGTTTGTGAGTAGTTCGTTGTGTACATGTTTCAGCCGAGGGCAGTCCCCCAGTTACCCACATTCCGGGACTTGAGGGATCATGTTTGTCGTTGTGGGAGTTTTTTGATATTTTTTGTATTTTGAGATTTTTCCCGAAGAGGTTCTCCAGTCCCCCACTCCTTGAGGCACTTTTGAAGTGGTGAAAAGGAGTAGAGTAGTTCTTGCCTGCAATATGAAGCCGAGGGGTGACGCTTTTCATTTCATTTTGGGGGGATGCCTCGTTAAAAACCTCATTAGAAAAAACCCTGTGGGAAAAAATTCTAATGAGGGAAAAAGAGTGTACCGGATTCCCCCAATGATGAATCGAAAAGGTGAAACCCTGGTCTGAAATGTGTGGCAGTGTTCTTGCCGAAGGCTATACTTGTCTGAGGACGCGTGTGTTGCTTTGCCGAAGGCTCGCTTTTGATATCCTGGGAGATGTCGAAGGGGAGCCCTTAATTCATGAGAATGAGGGGTGCGATGAATGTAGGTGATATTTCCTGTGTTGTCGAGGGGTGTGCCCGTTGTGAAGCCGTGGACTTTTGAAGGAGTGAGCACGAAGGCACTTATGATGTAGTATGAGGGGCATAGGTCGGGAGCACCTCTGGATAAGTGTACCCGGGGGCTCCCCTTGATGAAGTGGAGTGAAGGAGAAAGCCCGAGGGCTAGTTTTTTGGTTGATGAAGGAGTGGTCTGCTGAGGGCGTGCCCTTGGGTTCCCTGAATATAGCCGTTATAATATGACCGTTGGAGGGGGAGGACACATGGCGCGTGTAACACCCCGGGGCCCCACACGGACCCGAGGTAGTTACTCTAGACCTCTAGTACTGTCCCCACAAACCACCACGAGCCTTTACCGCGCACTTTGTCCTCACTCATGCGCGCCCTGAGAAACTTCCCAGGGGGTCACCCATCCCAAGACTACTCCCGTGCAAGCACGCTTAACTTTGGAGTTCTTGGGTGATGAGCTTCCTTAAAAGGAGATTCACCTCTGTTGGTATGAGTAGTACTATTAATCCTCTTAAATTAATCTCGGGTATTACAATCACCCCCACTTAGGATCGCAACGTCCTCGTTGCGCCCTTAACACTCTCAATCAAACCCCAGAATCTTGCCCCGCTAAGTGCCTGCCCGATATCTAACGGGTCAACACACTGTCGCAGGGTTGCTCTGATACCACTTGTAACACCCCGGGGCCCCACACGGACCCGAGGTAGTTACTCTAGACCTCTAGTACTGTCCCCACAAACCACCATGAGCCTTTACCGCGCACTTTGTCCTCACTCATGCGCGCCCTGAGAAACTTCCCAGGGGGTCACCCATCCCAAGACTACTCCCGTGCAAGCACGCTTAACTTTGGAGTTCTTGGGTGATGAGCTTCCTTAAAAGGAGATGCACCTCTGTTGGTATGAGTAGTACTATTAATCTTCTTAAATTAATCTCGGGTATTACAGCGCGTGGCCGCTGGCTGCCCGCGGGCGGGCGTCACTGATTGGGCGAAACGACGGTAAGTAATGATGATTTTGTAACCGGAGGCCCGGTTTTCGGGCCCAAGCCCGGATCTGGTCTCCTATAAATATCCCAAGGCCAGGCCATTCCCCCTTTACGCATCCTTGTTGCAACGAAGTGCTGGCAAAAATTTTCTAGAGAGAGAAAATCCCCTTCGGCCAAACCAGGTGCTCAAGGTCAGTTCTTCCCCCGGTTCTCCTTCAGCTGCATACTTAGTCTTTCCTGCCTTAGGTTAAGTGTTAGGGTTGGTTAGGAAGCCTTCGTCCTTTAGCCTTCGCCCTCTAGTTTCGAGAATGTCTTCTGCAAGCGATTCGCAAGACATTTCGAGGGAGCCTTCAGTTGAGGCGGAAACTTACTCAGACGTTGAGCCTTCGAGCGAGGAGTCTTCGGCGGGTGATGATGCTGCTGTGGCCATGGAGGTGGAGAAGGACCTTAGGGCCGAGGCCGAAGCCGAGGACTTTGAACAAATAAACGAGGACGAAGAGATGGCCCTCGCCGTTCAAGTAGCTGAGCAGGAGGAGCAAAAGGAGAGGATGAAGGTCACCGTTGCTGTTCTTCCCCCTCGCGATGCAGGCGAAGCCAGCACCTCTTGGCCCTTGAACCCGACGCCTATTAGTGTGGCTCCCGGGAAAAAGAAGAAGACGAGGGCTGCTCCGAAGAAGAAACAAGCAGCCGTGGACGACGGGCGGCCAGTAGGTATACCCGAGGGCCACTCCTTCCTGAACATCGCCGCCCTAGAGTTGAAGACGAGGGCGTCCTCAGCAGAGTACCAGGCCATTCAAATTCTGGTTGGCCCTTCGGCACGTGTGGTGGAGCCAGGGGCCGATGATCTGTTACAATTCGCATCCGAGGGCTGCTTCGATGTTCATACCCTGTCAGTGGAGATGGGGCTCCGCTTTCCGCTCCACCCCTTTCTGCTGGAGTATCTGAGGTTCGTGGGTCTGGCCCTCTGTCAGCTAACGCCCAACAGCCATTCTTATGTGGCCGGCTATCTCTCCTTCTGCCGGAGCTGAGGGGTTCCACCTACCCTCGACCAATTCTTCATGTCTTTCAACTTGTGTCGGGGGGGGGGGGGGGGGGGGGGCATTCGAACGCTGAGGGCTTTGCCAACCTGCAGCAAGTACCGGAGTTCAGGCTTTTCGATGACGTGCCTTCGTCCCACAAGGGATGGAAGGATAGGTACTGTTACATACGCCTGGAGGAGAACCCCTTTCCAGCTCCGCTCCGCAACAGCTTTCGGCGTCATCCGAAGGTAGGGAGTGCGGCCCTGGAGAAGAACGGCAGGATACTCACCAAGAAACCGGAGGGGTCCGACAAGCATGTGAAAATCAAAGACGTTACTCTCCCGGACGAACTGTTCAAGCTTGGCTTCCGGCAGTATCGGCCGAGGGGCTCGTCGGATGAAAGATACCCTCCGATAGATCGCGTATTCGAGGGAGCCGGAGGTGATTATCGAAGGGTTATGCGTTTTGTACTTAGAGAACTTTTCTTCGTTTTTTTTAATACACGTCATTGTAATTGATACCCTTCGGCCTAATCATTATGTGTCTTATCTTTGCAGGTAATAATATGGACGTGAGCTCTCTCTTCGCCCTCAAGAACGCCAAAGGGAAGAAGAAGGATCCAGTGGGTGCTTCCGCCAGGGAGGAGTCCTCCCAAGCTGCTGTTGCCGGTGCTGGTGCTGGGGGGTCCAAAGGTGTTGGGGCCATGAAGAAAAAGAACAGTGGTAAGGGGACCGAGCCCCCGACCAAAAATTTGAAAGCCGCGGCCTCCGGCAAGCAGCCGTCCACTGATATTGTCGTCATCGTGGATGAGGGGCACGCCTCCGCCCCTATCCCTCAGGAGCACATCAACCAAGACTTCTTCGACCGGGAGAAGTTGGAGGCGATAGTGCCGAAGGGGGCATCCGTGCTGGAGGGTAGCCTCAACCCTTCGGCGCTGATGAGCCAGATGCTGCCCTCGGCCGATCGGCTGGCCCTCACTAGGATGGACGAGGACTCCCTTGAGGCCAAGATTCTGCTGAGCAGTGCCTCTGTGAGTCACGCTTTTCCTTTTCCTTTGTATTCGCTTTTGTTCTTATGTATTGCGTTCACCATGCCTAACCGTTATCCTTGTTGACTGCAGAACTTCATGGGCCTTTGTGAGTATCTCCGAAGGGTGGAGCAGATGAAGGGGGCGAAGGGTGCTGCTGAAGGGGAAGCTGCCAGCCTTAGAAAGAGGCTGGCCGAGGCCGAGGATTCCCTCCGCTTGGCAACTGATAGCATGGAGCAGCGAGTGCAAGCTGCGAGGGCCGAGGGGAAGAGCGAGGGCATGGCTGAGGCCGGGGAGGCTGCTGCCGAAGTCGCCCGCATTGCTGCCGAGGAAGCCCATGTGGCTAAAGAAGAGGCCGCCGCCAAGGCCCGGGAGGATGTTGTAGCCGCCTTTACCGTCGAGGGGTGGAAAGCAGAGGAGCAGAAGGAGTGGCTGTCCTCGGTGGTGGAGGCTTCAGTGGATGCTTGGGTTGGAGGCCCCGACAAAATGTGGCTCGCTGAGAAGGGTGACTCCTATTATCAAGGTGGGGAGTTTTTCACCCAACGCCTCATCTACCGAAAGCTCGCCAGGCACTTCAAACTTTCGCCGGAGGAGTTCCAGCCCGAAGCTTATGGCCTTCCCCCTCGGCAACCAGACGTCAGGGTCCCCCTCCCCGAAGGCGGAGAGAGGTCGGTGCTTGAAGATTCAGATACCCTCAGGGAATGCGGCCTCTGGGGTGATGGAGATGAGGCCGAAGGCGAAGCCACCTCCAAAGCTGTCGAAGGGGGCGACGCCGCAGCTGCCGATTTGTAATTTGTACTCTGAACAATTCCTGATGCACCTTTGTAATAACATTGTTAACTCTTGGCTCCAGCCCTTATGAACACCCTGCCCTATGTTTTTGATGAATAGATGCCTCCGGGCTTTTGTATATAATATGTTTTTATTTTTGAGTGTATGCCTTCGCCTTCTCTTCGCAAATGAATGCCTTCGTACTCTGATATTTTAGTCGTTAGTCGTTTAGGACATAGAGAAATTTTCTTAGTGTTGTCCTCCCAACAGGCCTTCGGTTGTGTGGCCCCTCGGGCTGCATGGGTGTTTGATCGAGGGCGAAATATTTAGGACTTAGAAATTTTTTCCAAGTGTAGTTTCACCAAACCTCCGGTTACCATGGTCCTTCAGATGCGTGATGATTGGGCCGAGGGCCCAATCTTTAGGACTTAGGGCATTTTCCTAAGTATGAAACAGGAGCCTTCGAGTGAATGTGAGAGCCTTCTTGTAGGTGAGACCTCCCTCGGTCATGACGGTAATCTCGGGGGCACCCGTCCTAGGATAGTTTCCTTTGATCCGTGAGCACTGGCCTTCGGTGATATGTAGGAGGTGCCTTCGCTCCTTGAGTAGCATATGGGCCTTCGGGATTTGTCAGGTTCCCCCAATGTGGACTTAGGAATTTTCATTGTCCAAGTATAGTACGAAAAGATAGACGCCCCGGGAAATGTTTGGGCGCATTGCCTCGGTGTTTCAGTGAAAATGCCGTGGGCAACTACTGCCTGAAATGTTGTTGAGTGGACTTGGCCAATTTTATTCCTTTAGTAGGACTAGAGCCTTCGGCTTCAGTGACTTGTCCATTTGTTGATGGCATTTTTTGAATAGTAGCCTTCGGAGATTAGTAGCTCCCATGCACCGAGGACGTTCCCGTGGGGAAGCCATCGGTATGATGTTGAGATTCCTTGTAATGCCGAAGGATTTCCTGTTGTGATTTGTTGAAGTTGCGTACTCATTGATTTCTCGCTGAGTCTACTCCCCTTCACCCCCTCGTTTTTTTTGTAGTGAAGGGAAGGCTTCAAGAAACTTGGTTTCTTGGTAAGGCTGGGCCTATCGGGAGGCAATAGAATACACCATTAGCTCCCCCCTCGGGTTAACCTTCCGAGTTCCGAGGGGATCGAGGGCCGTTTCCTGGGCTTAAGACATAGTCTGTAGCCTGCCTCCCCTTGGGAGATGGCACGGAAAGCGCCTCTGTTTTGAAAGTCGTCCCCTTGGCGCCAGACATGGTCCATGGACTGCCACACCCTTGGGGTAGTGGCGCGGGGAGCGTTTCGGTTTGGAAGTCGAATCCTGGGCATATCAGATGCCTGCCAATCCCTGGGGGAAATGGAGCGGAAAGCGTTCCGTTTTTTAAAGTCGAATCCTGGGCATATTACTTGCCTATCATACCCTTGGGGTAGTAACGCGGAAAGCGTTTCAAGGAAGGGTTTTCATTTGCACATTGGTTGCAAATGGCCGGGGGCACTACGTGCTGCCGGCACCGATACGTGGCACCTTCGGTATATGCGTCCTCGAGGGGTACGGCTTTAGAAACAACACTTGGTGTTTGTTCCAGTATACGCCCCCCGGTACTTAGTACTGAGGGGTCTTCTTTGGAAAACACTTGGTGTTTTTCTTCATTCGTTGTAGGTAGCGGGAGAGTGTACCCCTGACACTTGGTGCCGAGGGGACTTCTTTGAAAACACTTGGTGTTTTCTCTACTGTTGTAGCTGATAGTAGTGCCTACCCTCGGTGCTTGATGCCGAGGGGTCTTGTTTGTGATAAGACCTGGGGCCGGGAACTCATGCGAGGGTTTGGCCACTCACAAGGGCCTTGTTTCTTGTCCTTGGTGCCTTCAACATGCCTTCATTTTTAAATAAAAAAAATTGGAGGCCTTGGGCCATAGAATAATACATTCACTAGTTATGAGGGCTTGGTCGCTCTAATGCTATTGATAAAATTTAACTAAGTGACGTATATTCCAATGCCTAGGGACCTCGGTCCCGTTGGGGCGTTTGAGTTTGTAAGTCCCTGGTTTGATGACGGCTGCAATGATGTATGGGCCCTCAAATTTTGGTGCCATTTTGCCTCCCTCGGTTGGTTGGCTAGCTTCCCTCATTCAGAGGACATAGTCCCCTACTTGGAATTCTCGAGAGCGGACTTTGGCGTCGATGTAGCTTTTGATTTGCCTTCGGTAGTTCTCCGCCCGTATGAAGGCTTGCTCTCGGCATTCTGAGATGAGGTGAAGGTCGAGGGCCATGTTGGCGTCGTTGACTTCGGGGTCATATTGGATCACCCTTCGGGTAGGAAGGGTCACCTCCGTAGGAGCTTTAGCCTCAAAACCGTAGCAAAGGGAGAAGGGTGTTTCACTTGTTGCCCGCCGAAGGGTGGTGCGGTAGGCCCATAAGATGTTATGGAGTTCTTCCACCCAGCCTCCCCCTTCGGCCTCCAGCTTCTTTTTCAAGCCCTCGAGCAAGATCCGGTTGGCGTTCTCTACTTGGCCGTTGCCCTGAGGGTAGGCAACGGAGGAGAAGGTGTGTTTGATGCCCCATGCCTCTAGGAGGGCACAGAAGGGGGCTGCCTCAAATTGAGTTCCGTTGTCGGAGATGATTTGCTGGGGGACGCCAAACCTTGTGAGGATGTTCTTGAGAACAAAATGACGGCATTTGGCTTCGGTGATGCTTGCGAGGGGCTCAGCTTCCACCCACTTGGTGAAGTAGTCAATGGCGACAATGATGTACATGTTGTTGGAGGTACCCCTCGGCAGAGGGCCCACGAGGTCTATGCCCCTTCGAGCGAAGGGTATGGATGTGCTGATGGGGGCATAGTTGACCGCTGGCCTGCCGGGGGCTTTCTGGAAGTGTTGGCATGCGGTACACCTTCAGGCGAGATCCGCACAATCCCGAGCCATTGTAGGCCAAAAGTAGCCTTGGATTATGAGCCTTCGGGACATGGAGAAGGTTCCCTGGTGAGCTGAGGAAGTGCCACTGTGCACCTCCTCCATAGCAACCTCGGCTTCATCTTGATGAAGGCACCGAAGTAGCGTCCCGTTGTATGATCTTTTGTAAAGCCTTCTGTCCTCGATGGTGTAGCTGGGAGCCCTCAGCTTTGCTAGCTTGGCACGTGACTCATCCTTGGGCAGTTGCTCTGTGGTAATGAAGGTGATAATATCTAAGATCCAGTCCTCTTGCCTTTGTTGTATGGGCATGACGGGGCTAGCATGTATGTTGGAGAGGCTAAGCTCCTCGATCTTGGCAATCTTTGAGATATGCTCAGGGGATTCGACCGAGAGCTTTGATAAAATGTCGGCCTCGTAGTTTTGAGCCCTCGGTATTTGAGTAAGAGAGTGTGCCTCAAATACCTTAAGCAACTCTTTGGCCGCTTCTTTGTACTGCTTCATTCTTCCTTCCTTGGCTTCGTACTCCCCGGAAATTTGGCTGACGACTAACTTGGAGTCGCACTTGACGTGGATCTGTCGGGCCTTCATGTTAGCTGCCAGCCGAAGGCCACAGAGGAGGGCCTCGTATTCGGCTTTATTGTTGGAGACCTTGAAGGAGAAGCGGATTGCATAATAGGCCCATAAGCCTTCGGGTGAGATGAGAACCACCCCTCCTCCACATGCTTTGACAGCGGAGGAGCCGTCGGTGTAGAGGGTCCACCAATCGTCCGAGGGAGCCGAGGGCTCCTCGTCCGTGGCTGATCTTGCCGTGCACTCCGTCACGAAGTCCGCTAGGGCTTGGCCCTTGATGGCGGGCCTAGGACGGATGTCGATGTTGTATTGGCTCAAGAAGACAACCCATTTTACCATTCGGGAAGAGCTGGTGGGGCTCCTCATCAAAGCGCCGAGGGGTTGGTGAGTGAGGACCTGGACCGGGTGAGCTTGGAAGTGGTGGCCCAACTTCTTGACAGTCCAAATGATAGCCAACACTGTTTTTTCCACAGGGGAATACCGGAGTTCCGCTTCCTTGAGGGTCTTGCTAACATAGAAGATGGCATGTTGGACGCCATCCTCTTCCCGGATGAGTACTGAGCTGATGGCTGCCGGGCTAACACCAAGGTAAAGGTATAGGGTCTCCCCTACCTTGGGCTTAGAGAGCACAGGGGGTGAAGATAAGTACCATTTTAGTTCCTCGAAGGCCTCCTGACACTCTGAAGTCCACTGGAAACCGGCGGTCTTTCTCATGATCTGGAAGAAGGGTAAGGACTTCTCCGCCGATTTTGATAGGAAGCGATTGAGGGCTGCTAGGCGGCCCATCAACCGTTGGACCTCCTTAACGTTGCGTGGGGGCTCCATATTGATGATGGCCTGGATTTTCTCGGGGTTGGCCTCGATACCCTTCGGCTCACCATGTAGCCTAAGAATTTTCCTCATTGCACGCCGAAGGTGCACTTCTTCGGGTTTAGCCGAAGGTTGAACTTCTGCATGATGGCGAAGATCTCCCTGAGGTCGTCAGCATGGCTGGAGGATTGTTTGCTTTTGACGATCATGTCGTCAACATACGCCTCCATGGTGCGCCCCAGGATGGCCTGAAATACCCTGGCCACCATCCGGGTGTAAGTGGCGCCTGAGTTTTTGAGGCCGAAGGCCATGACAAGGTAGCAGAAGATGCCCTCGGGAGTAATGAAGGCTATTTTTTTGGCGTCTTCCTCGTGCATTAAAATTTGGTGATACCCTCGGAAGGCATCGAGGAAGGACATGATTTCGCACCTCACAGTCTCATCTACCAATTGATCAATGTTTGGTAAAGGGAAGGGGTCCATGGGGCACGCATTGTTGAGGTCCGTGTAGTCCACGCACATGCGGAAGGTGGGAGGCTTTTGTGCGAGGACTACGTCTGCTAGCCATGAGGGGTATTTTACCTCCTTGATGTGCTTAATAGAGAGGAGCATGGCGACCTCCTTCTTCACAAATTCCCTCCTCTCGGCCGAGAGGGGTCTTCTCCATTGTTGTACTGGTTTAGCCGAAGGGTCCTGATAAGTCCATTTTTGTACTTATTTTTCTTATCAAATTTAAGTGATTTTGGACTGAAAAACAGAAAAACAAGGCATGTTTTATATATTTTGGTTCAAGTTTCGTGAAATCAGGTAAAAATCACATCCATGAAATGTTTGATGAAATTTCGG